ATCTGTAATCTGAGCACAATGTGGCATGGCATCATTTGATGTAAAGACATCTGTCACTACCTTTACAGTTCTGTGGGAAGTTAGGCATCAGTCTTAGAGGTCAAATCATGTTCTGAGAAAACACTGTAGGGGGAGGTTTTCCTGTTAATATGTTTCATGACATTCATGGTATCATTAACTATTTTCAAAGTTTATAGATGTATATTAATTTAGAGGATTAGTCTTCTATGTTACTCAATCTTATTTTTACTTCACCAGATTATCAAGAAGAATACCAAGAGCTGCTTGAAAGAGAGGATTTGTTTCCATATTATGAAGAAAATGGAGCAGATCTATTAGGACCTGGGGATATGTATGTTTTCTTTTTTAGGGATGTATTTTTTTAATAATAGTTATTTTTACTGCGATTCTGTGATACTGCAGAATTAGGATTCCAATCTTGACAAAAGTGAAATTAAATAAGATAATTGTTACTTAGTTCTACAGTGGATGTGTTTGTTTGGGTGTAAATTGGATTGTAATCACACAAGTTTGAAACCAATTTCATATTTATCCAATTGAGTAGGATAGTTACATTTCAAATGTTTATGCACATATACAAACAAACTTCTGCATTTTAAAAAAATTTGCAATCAAAATGAAGCACCAAGCCTTGAAGTGTTTGTTGTGAGGCAACCTAAATTCATTTGACTGATGTACATAAACATCTCAGCTAGAGATAATTACTGAATTTTCAGTCTTTCAAAGGAAGGAATTTAAATTTCTCTCCTCAGCACAAGCAGTGCTGAATTAAAGGGCTTTTCAGTATTCCTGTAGAGCAAGGAAAGCAAAGGGGGAAGCAATAGGTGAAAATGTAGCCTGACTTTTCTGGTGTCAGTTTATAAGAAAGAAATACGTAAAATAAGTAAAAGAATATGGTCTAAACTAAGTTGTTCTGAGCTTTGTACTCACTGAAAAGGACTTTCAGATCATGATTTGACACCCAAGAACACATTCTGTGTGGTGTTTATGTGTGGTAAGAGTGCAAGCCTGGATTGATATTTGTGTTAGTAAATTAGAAAACTTTTAGATTGTGCCTAACTTCATAGTGCCTAACTTAGAGTGGCAACTTCAGAAGATAAATAAGAGATGTCATCAGAAATCAACAAGCTCATACAGAGGTATCAAAAAAAGACACATGTGAACCTCTGTGCTTAGAAGAATAAATGCAAATTGGAGCAGACAGCAGTTAAAAACACAGCAAATCCAAAGAGTGACTCTGAGTCAACTTTAAAGCAAGGTGACTGTAACCTTCTTTGTTGAAGGCTTAAGAAAAGCTTAGACAAATGTCTGCCGATTCTCTGTCAGCTATTTCTCATGACTGACATCAGGGAGGAGGATTCTGTGTGAGGGTTCTGCCTTCTGCAGCCTACGCTTCTGCAAGAAAAAAGGAACAAATAAATATGTAGATTGCTTTTTCAGTGCACAAGCTGGAGTAAAAAACCTTTTCATACACATTTTCTATGGCTTGCTGAGGTTTTCTGTGAAACACATTTATGGCCTCTGTGCAGATCAGACATGCCGATTCCATTGTTTAGAACTGAGAGACAGAAAGTAGTAAACTGAGCACCTGAAATTAATGCGCACTTCTGGAGAGTCAGTAGCTGCTGACTCGATTTTTTTAAGGCTGTTTAGAATTACATACACTATCATGTTCAAGCTACAACTCTATTGTCCTAGTCTATGGTTAGGACATTAGAGTTGGATATGGAGAAAATAGGGAACACACAAGTTACTTCCCAATGTACTGTGGGGGGAAAGAAAGCTGAAGTGATGCCCATCACTCCCTGGCTTTATTTTGAAACACTATGGTAGTCTCCATTGTGTGCAATACTTACATAATTAAAGGGATCCAGTCTTTCGTTTGACCTAAATAAGACTGATCTTTTCTGAAAGTCCAGCTACCCTGTAATACAAGGTAGTATAACGCAGGTGCAATAGGGAGCCTCCTTTTAAATATAAACAAACAGGAGCACAGGGTTTCTATATGAACACATTCCTTGAGCTAGCATGTTGACCATGCTAATATGTTGGTAATTTTGTTTTTTGTAAATCTATCAGTATAGATGCATTAGTAAATTTTGGGAAGTTTGGATTGCATGATTGTGTTTTCTATCATATTGGGAACTAATTCTGTCTTTTAAACTGGGCAGCAGAAGATCTAAAAAGGTGACAAACACTGTAGGTATTTGTACACATCTATGCTGCTTTGAGGTTTCTATTTATTTGTTTTCCTAGTACCCATTATTTTTTCTTCTTCATCCCCCTTTAAAAATAATCTCATAAATACTGTCATTTATAAAGCTTTGTTTTATTCTTGATATCTACACAAATGGTTTTCAAAATCTGTATGTAAACTTAACACCTTTGGTGATTTTTTTTTTTCTTTAGGTATTTTGATGAGATTGATGATGAGATGGATCCAGAAATTGAAGAAGCATATGAAAAATTCTGTCTAGAATCAGAACATGAGAGAAAACAGTGAGATGTTACATATTAATGTTAGTTTATTAAACCTGTTTAGGTATAGTTAGAATACAGGGGGACACAAAATATTTGTACCAAAATGAGGAACTTTAGTTTCTTCAAGTACTAAAGTTATACAATTTCCATTTTGTTTAACAGAATCTGCCAAAAATTGTAAACTTATGCCCTGTAACTTAAAATGTTGTGTATATATCATAGTTTATTTTATCAATAATGTTTTTTGAACAATGTTTTGGCTGCAATAAAAATTATTTAGAAGTTATAATTGAAATTAAAGTTTAATGGGGAATTGCCCCATAAAATTTCCCTTGAGGGAGAAAGGGAAAGAATAATGATCTGAATTTGCTTGCTTGTTTGCTTTAGTATATATTGGGGATATACTCATTCTATTTACCATATACCGTATATGTTGTATTTGATTCCTTCCCTTCCCCCCAAGAAGAGTGTGATTGAAATAAGGAAAAAAATAGTTTTTTTTGTAGATCACAATCAGGAGAAGTGGTTTGTGAGAGTTTTGTTTTGTGTATGGATTTTTGTTTTGTTTATTTCTGTTTTATTACTCTTCTAAAACATGTATGCGTGAGGTCTGGACTTTTTTTTTTCCCTCCTGGAATAAATGTTATATGTTGATATGTGAAAAAGCAAGCAGTATTTTGGAAGTGAGGTGCTTTCAAGATCTTTGGTTCAGATAAGCTCATTTTCAAATTTACAAGCAAAAACTATGCTGTAATTTGTTGTGTTCTTCGAGACTACAATAATGTGGTTATGTTTGAATCCATGCTTCTCAAGCGTACATGCAGTGCTCTTTTTTCTTCCTTTTTTTTTGTTTTCAATAATGTATCTAACATGTCTAACCTTCTGGCAATGCTTGTAACTTCTTTTATTCTTCTAATTTTATGTAGCTTGATTTAATTTTGTAATTGGAGTAAATTCATTTATTTCATAAATGTTAACATTCTGAAGTCAACTGCTCTTTTTTGGACCCCATATAATCATGTTAGTTTTCCTAGGATGCTCCATTGGTTTTATTGCCAAACTCAGTTTCTTTCCTGTCACCTATACTGGTTAGACTGAATAGAAAAACTTACCAAGAACAGATGCAAATATTCCCAGAAGTTACCTACTATAAAGAACACACATTGTAAATATGCATGTAAATAATTCTGATAATATTTCACTGTTATTTGTTTGATTAAATAAGTTGTGCATCTGCTAATACAGTGAGCACTGGTTTTTGGATGGTTATTTAACATACTTATTTAGGTTGGAGTTTTGGAAAATAAAATTTAACTAGCTTTGTTTCCTTTGGTATAATTTCACTACTTTGTCAAACTTTTGCTTTAAAACAAAAATTAATTTTGACCTCCTTCTATAGATCCTTTGCCCAACACTCCTTTTTTTTTTCTTCAAAGTACACAGTGGCAGAGACTCTTAATAATCTTTTAATACTCACTGGAAAAATAAAATGTATCAAAAGGCAGTGTGGTCCTAAGGACTGTATTAGCGTTTCAAAGTCTGAAATCCAGAAACTAGAAATGTGAAAATTAGCTGATTTTCACACGTGTGTTTGCTCACTGGGCATAATTTTCATACAAAATTTGTAATCCAAATATAGGTCAGACTTTCTGCTGACCTTATAAGCAGATGTCTTCTGGAAAACATTAATACTCAAAACTAAAAGTCCCAAGGAATTTGGGCCTTTTAAAAGTCCCATATATGCTTTACAGTTAAGTAACAGTGACTTAGAGGGACTCCACTTTTCATATTTGTTTTGCATCTGTTTTGCATCTGTTGTGATGAGTCTTCTTTTTTTGTAAAGTAGCCCTCAGGTTCCAGATGTACTCTGTCAGCTTGTGGAGACAGTACATCTTGCATGTAGATAAGAAGTGTGCCAACTCATCCTGTATTATTAAAATGTTGAGAATTAGGAATTGTATAGATGAAGCCACTCAGGTCAAGTTTGCAACATAAGCTTTTCCATCCACCAGAAATACTGGAAAATCATGAAGTGAGACTTTTGTTTGAAGTAGTGGAGAAGTTTGCTGTCTCTGTACCTGTGTGTGAAGCTTGGTAAGAGCTTTAAGCCATTACTGCAGTAGGGAAAAATTAGTTATAACTCTGTCCTGCTGCATAAGGTACACACCATAATCTTTTTGTTAAACACTTAAGTCTTTCTTACTTGTCTTAGATCTCACAGAACTTTAATACAAATTCGTGACAGTGGCATGAGATGTGAGGAGAGCAAAACAAAGCAGCAGGTTTCTGATTGTCAGAATCACCCTTTGCTGCTTGTCTGCCCACTTTTAATTGCCCGTTGTTCTATGTATGATAGAAATGAGTCTTAAAGATTATTTCACCTGATTTTAGCATTTACACATTTCAAGTGCTGCATATATGTTTCTCATCTACAGGTTTCTGAACAATGCCTTGCAAAGATATAACCATTTAAAAAGATGGATTTGTGTTATGGTGTAATGGTAAATCAGCGAAGGCAGAGAAGCATGGAGAGCAAACTTTGGGGGATATGTGAAGCAAGCTTCTTTAGCAATGGTTCTGAAAAGAAACAGGCTTCACATTCAGATTTGAACAGGAGAACCAAGCTTCACAGATCAGTAAAAGTGTGCACAGTATTTCCCACTCTGAAAAATCTAATTGTGATTTAACAGAAATGTTTAGTATTTAAAAAGCACACTTTGTTTAATTTCAAACTGAGCTGCCAGAGTTGCTGTTTTGCATGTGCTTTGCTGTTGAGTGATTTTCATATTCAGAAATGAAGTCCACTTACTCTCAGTAGTTTCCTACAAAGAAGGTCTTAGTACTTATTGGCCCTTTTTTTTCTTTTTTTTTTTTAGGTAAACAAATGGTCACTCAGTTTTGACCATTGGGTTTTAGGTTAGTTGCAGCACTACAGAAAGAAGCAAAACTATGTCAGGTATCACAGGTATCACAAATTGTGCAGAGCTGGGATTTTTTTTTTCAGTACAGTAATCCATTACAGCACTGAATATTTGTGACATTCGGTCTGGTTTGGAATAGTAATCTTTATTTCTCTCTGAGACAATACTTTCTTATCACATTTTGCCTTTCCTTCCTACTGCACAGAACTCATCCTATTACTGATAGCTCAAGTTTGCAACTTCTCTCTGATTGAATTGTGGTCCTAATCATCCAGTTTATGCCTGTGCATCCTGGTAATTAGTACAGGAACACAAAATTACATTCCAACAAAAAGCCAGATAGTACACTGTTTGTACCCTGAACTGCTGATTTGCCACTTCTACTTCAGTCTGTGGGACCTACTTCCACAGTTTCTTTGGTGAAGGTTTCAGCCATAGTAGTGAAATTGTCAGCAAAATACAGTGTATCACCCATAATAAAAACTAATATTCGTGACTCATTCATAATCCCAGTATATACTTTGAAACTTGCTTCAGGCAAGTACTGTACAGAATAATACTTATTAAAAAGGGTATTGCAAATAGAACGAGGGTATTTTGATGCATGGCTGTGCCTGCAGCCACTTGACTGGATGCTGATCTACTCTCTCCTGGGAAAACAGCTGTTGAGAATGAAAGTTGTACTGAACACACATCATCCATGATTGCACTGATCTGAGAAACTTGTACCTCCATAGGTAGGTAAGGGACGACTGTTGCAGCAAGACCATGTGCTCTAGTGTGGATCTTCAGCTGTGTTTATTAAGTGGTTTGAATGGGGATTGATAATGAATTGTCACTTGGCTGTAAACTGTCAATCCACTTAAACCAGCTTTGATTAATTTTAAATATTAGGGGATGGAGGGTGTTGGTGTATAATCTTCCAAAAAGGCAGCTAGGCATAATTTTAAAATTGTCCTTTACGAACTTAGACCTTGCCTATTCAGCTACAACTTCTGCTACCCAGTTCTAATTACACAGGTTGAATTTCCCTGCCCTGCGAATACGTAAATGTAAAGCAGCAGTTACTAGAGAATTATAAGTAGTCTGTCTCTGGGGTATGTTGTAGATGGGCAGCCTGCCTCCTCGTCTTCCAGAAGTGCCGATGTGGGGAGGCGAGGAATGAATGCCCGGTTGCCCACCCCCTGGCTTGGTGCGTAGGGAGGCAGGAGAAGCAGCACACAGTTCTGCGTGAGGCTCCCGTGGGCGAGTGGGGTGCTGCAGGTAGCAGCAGGTGAGGTATGCTCACCTTTACCTGTCAGAATTGCAGCAAGAATTTACAGTGGAGTTCTTATGCAAAGTCAGCCAGTCATCTGCAGCATCCTTACGCTCCTCTAAAAGGTACAGTGACTATCAAAATGGAAAACCAAGTAGTAACTCTGTTACAGAAATGGCGTTGAAACAAACAAGAATAGTGAATAAGAAAAATGAACATGGTTGTGCTGAAGGTAAATAGAGAGAACCAACCAAACCGAAGGACCAAGGAGACAGAGATGGAGACCCATTGTTCTACATCAGTTGTTCTTCTGAATACACATGGGTTACACAGTGTTGGTCTGTTTCCTCCTGTCCCGAAGAATGGAAATATCCTTTGTCTTTGGCACTGATGTGCTGTAACTTACATACTGTTAAAAATGTAATGAAGCCATGTGGGAAAAATAACCATGCACCTATCAAGGCTGACGTTGTAACAAACCCTGAAAGACATGAAATAGTTTCTTGTTTACCTACAGCTTTGCCCCTCAGCTGCAGAGCCCCACATTTACACAGGTAATTTAAGCTCTTTAAACTGTAAATGTTAACGTGTTTCACAATTCTGCAATTTGGAACTTCAGCCTCTAGGGAAATAACTGAATCCTAGCTATAAAAAAAAAAAAAATTAAGATCACTATCAGTTGGGGGTTTTTTAGAATCTTCTTCAAACATGACATTTGTGAAACCAAGAAACCAACATTCTGTATCTGTAATGAAACTATAGTAATTAGTCCAGAGAAAAAAATAAATTCTGTTTTCTAACATGCTGTATAAACATATAAATGGAAAAGAGAATAGTGAAAAAAGTACACAGGTGTTGGGTTGGGTTGGGTTTGTTTTTTTTTTAATTATTTTTGAGAAGATAATATTTCTGAGGTGGGTCAATGGCACGTGTTCTTTTGTCAGCATCACTAAAAATAAAAACATTTTCAGGGTTGAGAAGTTTAATTTAGTAACTAATGTGAATAACTAAGGAATTGGAGGACTCTGAAAATATGCAGCCCCTTCCTTTTGAATAGGTGTGCATGCATCAGTTCTAGTTACAGAAATGATTACCAGCACACACACAAAAGAAAAAAAACAACCAACCAATCTTTGGACTCAGTGAGACTTTTATTGCATTTTACACAGGTGGACTTTCTGTGACTTCTTGCAGAATGAAGACACTGAATACTATTCATACCCTCAGCTAATTCAGTTGTATGGTGCCAGGGTGTTTTTTATAGGTATGTAGGAAGTCACGTGTGTCATCATTGGAAGACTTTATTTGTATGGGAATTAAGCTTTAAGATGAAATGTCTTACTTTGTCCATTTATCACTCTTTGAGAAATTGAAGACAATCTTCATGTAAGAGTTTCTTCATTTCTCCTGTTTGTTCATTGGACTTCAGATTTTCTAGTACAGTGTATTTCCAGGTCTGAATCTGAAACCATGTTTAAGGCTTCTAAAGAAATGATCTAATTTCTTAAAGGTTTATTGGACAGCTGGACTTCCCTCAGATTTCACTGACAATCATGGTATTTGGTTTCTTTGCAAATTTCTTAGCGTTCCTTTTGACACTGATGATTTAATGCTTTAGAAATGTTTGTCTTGGTGACCTCCATAATTCACATTTTGCAGGCAGTTCAACTGTGGATTTTCCTGGCTAGTCACCTTGTCCATATGGTTAAAAAAAGAAAGACTTTTTTCTTTGAAATGCCCTTTCATATTGAAATGGTTATAATTGCTATCAGCATCTAAAGGTCTTTCATAAAAGCATCATTGCTGTTGAAACCTTTAATCCTTTTGCCCAGTGTTCTTCATTTTTCTTAGTGTAATTCCTAAATTTTCATCTCATCTGAACAAAATGTTTGCAGCACTTCAGAGCTTTTTTTCTCAGAAACCTCTTTTCTTTGAAAGTATGGTGGGTAGCCACACTTAACTCAAAAAAGTCCCACCTCCTAAGTCCAGGCATCTAACAACGGAGTTGTGTCATTAAGTGGGTTTTAGGCTCAAAGATACCATATGATCACAGATAAAAGACCATTGACATTAATGAGAAACACACAGCTGTATTGTGTTTTTGAGCTTCAGATTGTTCAGGAATCATTCAGTCTGACAGTTTTCTGTGTACACTAGGTAGGGCTGTTCTACTAAGAAAATTGTAGAATTCACTTCAGAATCACTGTATTTTGTGGTCAGTGATATGAGCAGCTCTTGTGAGATGCTTACCTCAACACACAAAAAAACTTTAATTAGCTTATTTAAATCCTCCCCCTCATGCACACATGCAAAGAAACAGCCCTGGTAATGCTAATCTTCTGTGTTAAAAGAAATTGTTGGTACATTTTGCTGTTTCTGCTTATTGCTTTCTTCAAGTGTACTAACCTGTTTTGCTTGTCTAATGAAACAGCATTTTAAATACCTGTTAAAAATTATGTTATTTTTCTTAGATTTATCCATGCTAGGACAAACATCACAGAAATTTATCCTGGTGATGACTCATTTTTCAAGTCAGAGGGAGCATTTTTTGGAAAATATTTCATACATTATGCAGTCCAAAAAGGAACGAAAAAGGTATAAAGCTATTTTAAAGTATATTCCAAATCCCTTCAAGTTAGCAGCTTTCTTAGTTTTAATACATTTGGCTATGCACTCTGTAGTGAATTATGCCTGTATCAAGCCATTGATCATACAAAAAAAATGAGATTACTCCTGCTTCAGAAGGAGTATTTTTGGAAATTACAGACACAATAAGGAAAATTTTATTCACTGTCACATTTATTTTATCAAACCCAAGAGTAAGATACTACTACTACCATTTGTCGCTAATTTAGAAGTTTAGTTTTTAAACTAACATATTGATTATTAATCTTTATGGACTTGGAAGTGTTTTCTTTTCTACTGTATGGAGACAGAACCTAGAAGATGTGTTCTGGTTTTGCTACAAGACCAACTGTTCAGTGCTGGAGAAAGGAGTTTGCCTCTCTGTGTCTTCCTGTTGCTAAGTTTCCCCAGAGCAGAAATCCTCTCAAGTGCTTATGCGGTGCCTTGTATTTTTAAAGCAGAATTAAGGATCAGCTTCATACTCTTCAAACTCAGCCTTTAACTCATAGTCAGGTGTCATTACTCAGTAATGAACTACAGTCTACTCTGATAAGAGAACTTCTTGGCCCTTACTGAGTGCAGAGAAACTGAATATTTATTTTTTTTTTACTTTTTGAGGAGATAGTTGTTCTGGAGCAGATTTAAATGTGATTATAGTTTCTTTCTGGGAGATTAGAAATTTCATAATTTGCAAGCTTTTAATGCTGTTTTCATGCTATGGTACCTGTAACTAATTCATCTTTCTGCTCTACTGCAGATGGAAGAAAAAATGTATTCAGTGAACAGTCTTCCTCCTGATGTACCAGGAAATCCATACTCTATATCCTCCATTATTACTCAGGCAACCAAGTAACTTTACCTTTTTTACATTAATTCTTCTGACTTAGAAAGGACAGGAGTTAAAATTACACGTAACACTTATTATTTCATTAAGTATACAAATTAAAGGAATTTATATTAGCACTGAGGACATATGTAAACATAAAAAACAAAGCTCCGAACTGCTTAGAAGACATAATAAGAATGAAATGCTTAATATTTTGTTTGGTTTTTTTTCTCCTCAGAATACTTCATTATTGCTGCAAGACAAAACTGTTATTAAGTCATAACTATCATCTCTGGTGCTGGAAAGTGGTATGTAGCTGAAAATTTACTAATCTTTCAGTGTTATAGGGAAGATTATACAGACTATAGGGAATAGGACTAAATCTAGAGGAATGAATGTTCAGTGTATTCTCAGAGATCAGAAGGTAGATATTTGGGAGCCAAAAGCATGCACTGTAAAGTTATATTTATGAAACAGAAAGAAATTGCATGATGAAGAGAGCTGGTTGTAATTCGGGAAAAACAAGTGAATTGAAAATCTGGGCCATATACAAACAGCTATAATGATGTAAGTAATCTTTCCTCAAGTTTTTGATGTATCTGTTTGGTTCCAGGTACCTGAGACAGATGGATGAGAAATGTTGCTAGTTTTGCTGTATGAAAAGATTATTCCCAACATGGGAAGACTCGTTGTGTACTTGGATCATAAAGTCCATGCTGCTTTTTGGGATGGGTTGACCCTGATTGTGGTTTGGGATTTCAGCTCCTCCTCTAGTGAGATCCAGGTAACTCATAAGTTAGAGGAAGGACTATTCTTAAAACTTTTAATTGAAAAAGTGTTACTAGGAAATCAATGAGAAAATGAAGCAAAAGTTCTGATGCCTATAAAATACAAAAATAAAAAAGAATTGAAAATTCTACAGGTTTGGAGACGTTTCTATGCACTTTTAGAAATAATTTATTCTTGAATAGCACAAAGCAGGTGTTGGAGCTATGCCAAGGCCTTTTTCCCCTGCATTTGTCATAGCAGACTATACCACAGAATCACAGAATCAGTTAGGTTGGAAAAGACCTCCAAGATCGAGTCCAACCTGTGACCAAGCACCACCTTGTCAACTGGACCATGGCACTGAGTGCCACATCCATTCTTTTCTTAAACACCTCCAGGGACAGTGACTGCACCATCTCCCTGGGTAGCCCGTTCCAATACCTAATCACACTCTGTATAGAACTTCTTCCTAATGTCTGACCTAAACCTCCCCTGGCACAGCTTAAGACTGTGTACCAGATTCTATCCTTAGCAAAGCACAAACTTATAAGTGTTTGAACTGGATCGTTCATAGATACTTAATTCTTAAGTTGGCAAATTATACTTGCTTTTTCTTCTTCAGACTGCAGCAGAAGATTAATACTTGTAATGTTTTTTCTTTTAAGGTAAATGAAGATATAGGCTGGTGTAAGTTAACTACTCCTGATGGGGTACAGCAGTTAATACAAATAAGTCATCCTGGAGTCTATAAAAGGTATAAACAGTTTAAGTAATTTAAATATAAAATAATCCTGTACAAATCTATTTAGATGAAGAAGCAGTATTTACTGACAATATACTGGGAGGGCTGAACCAAACACATAATGATAAGAGCTCCGTCTTACATCTGGCAAAGATTCAGGACCTGTATGACCCAGGGCCACTGCATGCTGTCATTACATCATAATTGTTACAACACAATTGTTGCAATGTCTTTTTAGAAAAATAACTAGGGCTGCAACTTGGCATTTTCCTCAGTGGATAAGAAAAAAACCCAAAAGCATTTGTCCTGTGTAGAGTTGGTACATAACACTGGACAGCACTTTATCCAATTTTTGCTTTATTACAGATAATGACCTCTGCCTGCAGATTACTTTCTGTAATCTCCTTGCTCGAATTACAGCCTCATTATGGGTATCATCAGAAGCTTACTGTGCTGCATTTTAGCAAGCAGATATTCACAAACAAAAATAACCACTTGTACACTGTTCATCACAAATTATAACAGCTTTGTTACAGTTTTCTGTAACAGTATAAATCTAAATATGAAGGAGATTCTGGACAAAAAGAGTGAATCAAAAAATGACAAGGTGAACTAGAGAAAAAGCTAGATTTCGAACCATAGCATTTTCTTTCAGATCCAGATGGATTGCTTAACACTTTCAGGTTTTTGCTTAAATTAATAGTTTGTTTTTCATATAAATAACTGCTTTTTTGAATTTTCATATTAACATAGGTACATCAGAACAGCAATAGAATGGTGCAGAAGTTTGAGCGAAAGGAAAGAGATTGCTGAATATACTGCGCACTCTGTAACTGAAGAAAACTGGTATTCATTGTTGTCCTAAAAAACTGACTATAAATAACGTTGAAAACAAAACTCAAAAATATTATAAACTGCGAATTTTACAGATTGCATTTCCTAGTAGTCAAAAAGACCATTTATTTTGTATGGTTTTATATTTTTCATTCCGTTTTTAAAATGTTAGGTGAGTTCCAGGTAGAGGTTGTTTCATTGAGCCTGTCTTACTTAAATATCAGAATTATGGTGACTTGGCTAAAGGAGGATTAAAGTTACAGAGGTAGTATCTTGCAAGGCAAAAAAAGAGAAACTAGACAAAGAAAGGTGTCTTTTAACAGAACATCAAGCAATTCAAAACAGGATTTTGAACTTAGCAGTTTTATCTCTTGCTGATGTATCTGCCCTTCTTAACATGCTACTGACCAGAAGTCTACTGACATCACATGCAAACACTTTTGGGTATTAAAAATGTGTTAATTGACGTCAATTACACTTGTACTTGTTACTTAAATTATAGCAGATTCAGCTGATACATTTTATAGCTGATGAAATGAAAATTGTATCTATATTTATAGATACATAAAGCAAAGAGACTATTCTTAGAGCAGAGCCTTGATTTTTGGGAACACAAATGATTAATAAATGTCAGCCATTGAATAGTGGTATGAAAGAAATGAAGCATTTTTTTTTCACTTGGATTTTGCTGATCTAACTTTCAGTATTGCTGGAAACTGTTAAATAAAATCTGAGTTATAAAATGTCTTTGAGAACCTTTTATTATACTAAATAGTTTAATAACCTTTATTTTTTTGGACAGGTCTGCTGATGCTGAGCTAAAAAAAATACAGAGATTTAATTGTGTCCTTTTGAAAGCTGTAGATTTTTCACTTTTGTATTCTGCTGTTCATCTGTATGTTCAAATATTTACTTTAGATCATCAAAGGCTCTCTATCCCGTTCCTGCTTTCTTTTATTCCCTTACTCACTTCTTAAAATTACCTCTTTTTCTTATTTATCATTTTTGTTTTATCACTTATCTTGTCCAACTTCTACATCACAGCACCGAAATAAAAAAGTCACCGAAAAACAAAGCCCTTTAATGGTCATTGCATCAGTTTTGCTAAGAGTCATCTGCTGATCTGTTCTTGAAAGACAGAGAAGGCAGTTGCCTTGGGGCTTGTTGCTGCAGTACAGTATCTTTCTGTTTATCAGCTACCTTATTATTGTTTTATTGTCTTCAGCCAGCTCAAAATGTGCACTGTCCTGAATCTGCTTAAAGCCACTCTATAATAGTCTTTAAACCAGTGTACAATTCAATTAGTGCGAAAAGTGTACACTGTTTAACTCCAGTGTAACATTAGTTTTCTTTTTAAAGTAACTCTTGGAAAAATTGAAGTCTAAAAGACATTTTTATATAAATGTTATAGACATTTTAAGTAATATACCATCTTCATCTTTTGGCTATATGTAATTACCATGCTACAAAATGTGAGACTTTGCAATGCAGAATGATAAATACAGACATGCAGAATTATTTTTCTCATTAGGAGGAAGAGTTTTATCTTTTTCCTTAACAAAGTAACACTGGTTTTATTAGACAGTAGCAATGTTCCAGAAAGGAAGAATGCTGCAAAATCCAATCCATCTGGTATCGCTGTCAGAAAAAATGAAAGCGGGAGTGAATCGAAAGAACTCAGTGTCGGGTGTGTCTTGAAAGCTTTGGAGAAAACTTCTAAAGTCATTCAGGATATTGAACCTCTGCTTGCAGCTTCTGGGAAGTGAAGCTTTGTAGCAGATGAAGACCTGTGTTCCGTGTCCTCCTAGGAGCTGTCCCAGCTGTGTCTGAGGGAGCTCTGAGGGGCGACAGGAGGGCTGAAGTTGCCATTGTAACACCCGTGAAGTCTGTGAGCTGCCACTGTAATGTCAGTAACAGTGCCAGTGGTATATTTGGTATAGACAAAGAGAACAGGTGAAATAGTAGAGCACAGCCGCATAAATACATCATGGCTGACCTGACCTCGCTGCTTTTAAATGTATGAAGTTGTGTTTGAATCAACTGATTTTACAGAACAACTCAGTGAACTGCTGAACTGACTAGAGTAGGGATAGGCAGTTTTAATTGTAAAAACGTGCTTTTATTCAGAAGCTCACCCAGTCCAATAAAATGCTTCCCAAATGCTCTATATTCTTTTTTTTTTTTTTTTTTTTAGTAAATAAATAATTTATATCAGGGCAGAAGACGCTTTTCTCCCAGCGATATAACGAACTACAGCACGAACACCCAAACAACTGTTTTTAAGACACCGCCCCCCCTCGCCCTAGGAAAAACTTCTCCCTCGTAACCGGGGCGGCCATGGGAGGAGACAAGGTTGATGCGGGTCCCATGCTGCTCCGCGGCCACGCATGCTTCCTAACGCGCTTCCTACTCCGCTCCTGCTGGGATCGGGGCGGCCGGGGCGCCTTCCCCTCATGGGGTGCGGGTGCCGATGGCGGCGGCCGCGGCCGCGCTCCAGGTGGGATCCGGGGCGGGCTGGGCACGGGCGGCGGCGGCGGCTCCCAGCCCCGTCACCCCTCGGGGGCTCCGGGCTCCCCTCACACTCCGGGTTTTCAGGTTAATTTCCTGCCGGGTTAAATTTAGTTAGTTTTTCGGCGTCTTGGTAAATCCTACGTGTTCCTTCTGGGCTTTTGTCCTTTCCCACCCTCCAGCCTCAACAGTAGATTATAATTATCTGACCCAAAAATACTTGCATTGCCAGGTCTTCATAGATTGTCTTAGGCTGGGATCTCCTTTTCCATGAGTTAATATGCTTAACGTTTGAGCTGATGTCTTAAATGGTAATTCTACGTCATGCAGTTTTTAATATAAATTAACATCCAATATCAAATATTAAAGTTTTTAGGAGATAATAGAGTTTTAAGGGGCTGCAGTCTTTTGACTTCTTGCATAAAGTCGAAATAATTCTGCTGGTTGACATGGTGGTGTTCGGTCACAGGTTGGACTCAGTGGCCCCAAAGGTCTTTTCGGACCTAATTGGTTCTGTGATTCTGTCATTTTATGCATTAAATACCTATACGTTTTCCCATACCTCATAACGTCTTGCAAAACTGGAGAAAAAATTGGGGAGAGCAGTATTTCTAAGTGATAGTTTTAGCCATTGGAATTTCGTTTTGCTCATACAGCATGAGTTGAAAGGCCTCTTAGTGTCGTCTCTTTTCCCCAAAAGCATATTTACAGTTTTGATGTAAATATATTGTGTCACTAATTTAAAGTGTTAAGTGTGCGTTTGCTAAAGTATTATTGGTAACTTTCTTAAATTACATTAAACATATCAGCAAAATTGCATTTTGAGGGTGTAGGCATAGATTATGTATAGTGCTTTATCTCATATAAAAATGACACGAAAAATCACAACTCTAGGCAGTGTTACTCTGTCAGCTTTTGTGTTTTATGTGAAACCAACATAAAGCTTCCCTTCAGCATGTTAACTGGACTGACTACCCAGTTTAAGCATTCCTGTGTGAATTATTTCCCAATTTTATGTTTTAACAGGAATGTAAATTCCATCAATATGCTTTCTGAAATTTATAGGATAGAAAAACATATGACACTTTATTGTGATATTTTGTAAAAAGCTTGAAAATCATAACTTTTCAGACAAAAAAAGTTTCTAGTTCTACATTAAATTTATCATTTCAGAAAAAAAGGGTTTCTAGGTTTACATTAAATGTGTCATTTTAAAGATTATTTTGGTTGAACAGAGTTTTGCCTTTTCTAGTCTGATTTCACTCTTAATTTGCAGAATATTTATAGTTAATGTTGTTGTGCCTGGGAATGTGACTTGATTTTTATACATTTTTTTTTTTCTAAAACGGTGGCAGAAATAGGCTGTTTAAAAACAACATTTGGACATGGCTCTTCACTGAGGTCAACCTGAAGCCAGTTTTGCATCCTGTTTTTCATTCTGTATGAAAGAAACCCATTCACATACAATAGTTCTTGTCCAGTTGGCATTATTACCTTTATTTCATGATAGATAATTCTCAAATCATACTCATTTGGGATTTTTAAAGTCTGTAGTGTTACTTGTCTTGTGTACTTTATGCACATGGTAATACTTTTCATAGCAAAACAGTGTAAGTCTAACACCAAATTGACACAGATTTCTGTTGCTGTTTCAACCTATAGATCTCTGTTTATCTATTCCAAGGCCACTTGCTAATGGGGTGAAATTAAAAAACAGATCCCCGATTGTGACTCATAAATGTTTCATTATGTGGGAATCTTTCAGGCACAAGAAGGGATCTGTTAAAATAGATTGCTCTATATTTTGAAAGGCAGTTACTTAAAAGACAGGAAGTGTTCTTTTCTGAGTTTACCACTCTGGGGTTTATTATCTTTTATTTATTATTGTGTTCTGTCTTTATGTGTACTCTTCTCTTGTTTTATGGTCTTTTTTTCCTGCTTTCTTTAACAGCAATTCAAAGCCCTAGCTGGAAGTTGCTTTTAGCTCAATTATATTTGTTCATGAATGAATTAAATATATGTTTATCCTTTCTGGGTTTTTTTTACTATTGTTCAGATTTCGTGTGTGTTTTGTAAAACGTCTGAAGAGCTTTGTGTAGTATCAGTCTTACTGCTGCCGTGTTTGTGTTATTTAGAATGGAACAAATGGTGTTTGGTATTTGCTGCTTTGGACTGGGCAGACTGGATTCAGAAAGCACAGAGGCTCAACTCTGAGGCAGAGACCACATCTGCTACTGGAATAAGGCACTTGCAGTGGAAAAAAGTATGTCCTCCTAGTCCCAGGATAAGTTTGATTTTGAATACCGGTGTGCTTTTTAAAGGTATGTTGCTGCATCACCTCTGCACAGATTGGATTCTTACACAGATTATTATGGTAATTTTAAGCGAAATCCAATAAGACATGGTGGTTATATAGAAGAAACATTTGTGAGGAGATCACCATTTTTTCTTTAAAATGGAAGTTATTCAGAAATCTACTGTAAAGTCATCCAGCAGAAAATTGCACTTACAGTGTTTCAGGAAATATTTTGTGTCTACACGTTCATTCAGAAGAGGCACAGTCATGGTTAACAGATGCTAAACTTGACCTACTTTTTTTCATCTCTGTACACAGACTATGTATTACTCATGTTTTGCCGCGGTCCGAATGGGGGGAAGGGGCCGTGGCACAGCACGGGTTCAGGATCCAAGGTAGGGTGCAGGTAGAATGCTTTATTCAAGCGTGCACGCGATTTTTTGTCAGCTCAGGAGGGGGAAGGGCCAAAACATGGGGCGGAGAATGGGACAGACAAGCGGGGGAACGAATCAGGATAGGGACACGGGCAAAAGGGTGAGAGGCGTAGGAGGAACCGGGGAAGGAAAGGGCGAATGGGGGCTGTCTCCTCTCTGCAGCTTCTCCAGCCAACCAGCAGAGAAACAGGGAAGCAGGGAAGTGAACAAGCCTGGGCATGCCCGGGAGATATAAATTCTGGGGAAACATACAATGTGTATATACATAATAACTGTAAAGTCTGCGTCATAAAGTCCTTTCAATCGCTGTACATATTTTTCCACTTCTGAAATCGTTCCCATTCTGATTCTTGGTCCTCGACAATGCTTTCTTCTCTTTTTTTTTTTAATGTTTTTCACAGAAATGATTCAGCGGGCTTTTTTTTTTTCTATAAAGGTGCCAGCAGTCATGTCTTGCAGATAATTCTACAATAAGCAGGCATGGAAATAGTTTGGAAGAAACAGCTTATATTTTCTGAGACTTAAAATCAATAATATGTTTAAAATCATAAACTGTTATGTGTCACCATTGTTATTCGTTTTCAGAGGAATTCTAATACAGTTACAAAAAGTGCCTTTAGAGTAAAAGTTTACCTAATAGAACTGTATGAAGACAGATTATCAAGGTTTAATGTAGTGCACAAAAATGGCAAATTCATGGGAAGAATCCATTTTTAGATAGGATATAGGCTTCAAAACTGTGGTCTATCCCTATGACTCCCCAAAAAGACTAGCATAGCAGTTAGAACAGGAAGAATTGGTACTGTCCTTCAAAGACAGCTTTTCAGTATGTTTAATGTAACAAAGCTAGGGAATACTTCATTAACATGAGGACTTTTTTTTCAAAAGTGTTCTTTTTAATGTTATCATGTAAATGAGTACTGTATTTTTGTAATCCAGGTATCCTATAGTTGTTTTGGGGGAATGAGATGGAGATCTTTAAGATCTTTAATTATTTTTGGAATTTCTTTTGAGGTGTTAATTAGTTAAGGTAAGTAATTATTCCCAAGAAATCACCTCTTATCAGAGGGTTTCATAAAAGTCACAAAACATAAATAGGTTCTAAGAACTTCAAAATTATTATTAATGTATATAACAATGCCGTTATTTTCAGACGGCAACTTTTGAAAAGTAAAATGACTGGGATTAGTTAATTTGCTTTTTTTTTCTCTGCAAAAAGAGAAGTTATGAAGGTAATGTGGCAGACAACACTCCTAAAACTAACAGTAGAATTTGCTGCTGGAGAGGAAAAGCATATGTAGTTTTCTCCTGTAAGCACTCGGTTTTGGTTACTTTGGTTGACTGAATGGTTGTTGTCTTTGTGTTTATCATAAATAGTGAAGATATGTAAGTGGTTCTGGTTTTCTTAAGGCTTATTCTACGTCCCAGTCTCCAAACTGAACAAGGAGTTGCTCAGGAAATTGTACAAGGGTGATAATACGTATGTTTGCAAAATATGTAAATTAAAATAGTTTGGATTATAGATTAAAAACTCGGTTTTAACAGTTGTCATATAGAGAGATCTGGGATTTTTGAGCATCAGTCCTAGGAATCATCCATATTGGGTAATCTTTTGTTGTTACATTGTGAAGTATTTAATTCAATTAATATAATGTATTTAAGACTAGAAGGAGTCTTGAAACTTATTATCATAGACGTGTTTCAAATTACTTTGTAAAATTACTTTGTAAAATTTCAGTAAGTGCAATTAGAACTTTCCATGTTATTTGTGCTTGCTCTAATTAAAACAGGACAAGTGTTTTAATTCAGAGCTGTGGTGTTCAAGTCAACAAATTAACTGAAACTAAAACTTCCCTAGGAATATTAAGTGCAAACATTGAATTTGGGGTTTTTTTATGCTCAGTTTTAGTTGTGATAAATGCTTTGTGCTAATGGATTTTTTTCT